TCAACACGCCTCTCTGCCGGTATCAGTGGTGAGGTGGATCGTAGCACCAGCAAATTGTGGACCCTCACCAAGCCAACCGCATGCTGACAGAGCACGATGAAGACACCTTCGAAACTCACCGCACCTGAGATATATAGAATTTTAATGATAATTTTTTGTTTACTAAGTTAATAATTGCTTTATTTCTAAAAATATAATATATTTATAATTGCTAATAGTAGGCCATATAGTTGCCTTTATTACATAGTTACATAAAAAGTCATAATTAAAAATGTTGATGCTTATATTAAAGTTATGCCTATCCAATCCTTTGAAACGGGGAAATGGGTCGATAATTTTCCTTGCCTTCCATATAACGGTCATGAACTTGGAATATGTAATATTTGGATGAAATTTTAATATTTTACTTACTAAATAACCGATTTGAATATAATTAAAGTCTAAGATTCTTAATTTGCTTCTTATACGCAGTTTTTAACGAGACGAGATGAGACAAAAACCAACCGACTTCGCAAAGGCACTGTCTACTCTAAAAGGTCAATGTTACTGGGGTACGCAGATAATAATGACATGATAGACCTTAACAACAGAGCCGTTGGTGCAATCTTTTCCAGCCTAGAAAAATAAGTGGTTTGGTCTTGTCTTGAACGAGGGCAAGACAAAAATATCCGGAGGTCACACACAAAAATTCGTCGTGTCTTGGGAACTACATTACTGTTGGCAGCGATTAACTCTAATAACAAATATTACGCTCTATATTTTTTTTATCAAACCCGCTCTATTATATGGCGTAGAAACATGGATGAGAACAAACAAAGATGAAAAAGCGCTTGAAGCATTCGATATAACTGTTCTCCGCAAGATCTTTGCAGCCGTCCGCGTGTGCGATGAGTAGCGAAGAAGATGGAACCATGAACTGTCTGAGCTCTACGTCGAAATGAATATAGTTAAGCGCTCAATAATCCAACGGGTGCGTTAGTTAGGCTAAGTCGTGTGCATGTAAGACAATGCTCCAGCGAAAGGCTCCTTCGATTCGGGACCCATGCGTGGACAACAGAAGCAACGGCGACCAAGCATCTAAAGAAAGTAAGAAGTGCATAGGTACCTGTCTGAACTTTGTATGTAAAACTGGCGTAACCTCGAAAAGGATAGAGGTAACTAACGAAGTTTTGTGTTCTTGGTTTAGACCGGGCCACGGTTGCAGTGCCAAAGAAGAATAAGAAGTTTCACGTGTCCCGCAATTAGTTGCTCCTTGGTAAACTCGTTTATACTCACATATGCCAGAGATATAGACAGCACTGCCAGTCATATACATTTGCAATGGATAATAGGGGAATGTCATGCCTTTTTCTTCCCAAAAAGGATATAGTGCAGGATATGCTGAAATTATGCAGAAAATATTTAGAAAATAAGCAAAAGGTTTTTTTTTTATTTTTATTTTTTGTATAAGTGAACTAATTATTTGTCATTTCAACCCATATAATAAGAAAAGGTTTTGGAAGGGTCGTCTGTTTTCTAGAACCATAATAACAACTTAAAAATCTTTAAATAAGATTTTATCTTTCTATAATATCACAACTACACTATAAACTTGATGATGAATGTTTAATTTCGCATTATGTTTCTCAGCTCTTTTTATTTCTAAAATTTCCGAGTAATCTTTGGAGCGTCATACATAAAAAACATATGAAAAGATGAATCTAAAACTATCACTTAGCTATTTTTTGATTTCCCACAGAGCTCTTTCCGGCAGAACGAAACTACTATATAAGTATAAGAAAACTATGTAATACCACGAGATCTGTAAGAGTTGGGAGGGATTCCATTTTAGGCGTTTGTAACTAAGAGAGCTTTTCGAAAACGTCTGTCGTGCGATTGCTACCTGTTGCACTAGATACTGTTAGATTCAGGTTAAATTACTGAGCTGTTCGAACTGATTTTTGTGATTTATCTGCCCCAATTTCGTGTTTGCACATAATTCCGACTAACTTGGAACCAGCCGTTAAAAATGTCATGTGCGATATTCAACATGGGCAACCTTGGCACTCGGATTTAGTTCGTTGCTGAGACTGTATAGCTGATAAGTTTTTTCCGCAAAACAAGAATAAAGTTAGTTAATAGGTCTCTCAGTCAGGAACAGTTGTATGTAAATATATGAATACTCGAATTTACGGCACTTGGTCTATTCGAAAACAACTCTGTACAGACTTATGGTCTGGTTTTCGCTTGTTTTTTGTTTTATCAATAGAATTTGCATCACGATAGTTGTAATCTCTTCTGATTCAAAACTACTGAATGCATTTTAAGATTATGTAGAAGTATATTATTGGCTCTTATTAACGTGCTGTACTTACGTAATATATGCTTATAATCGGGTGTTTGCTTCAGCTGATGATAGAGATTAACGAAGAAGGAGCCAAAAAAGTAATTACAAACAATAGCCACACAACAACAGAAATAAAATAATATTTGGCGTTTTGCGCTAAGCCAAACTCCATTCATTATATCATCGATCTCCTGCTTCAACTGGCGATTTATTGGAAAATCTATTGTAAAGCAAAAAAATAGTACTTACTACAAGTTAAATTATGCCAGTAACAAACCATGTTGAAATATTTCTATTTTGCGTATTATTTCATGTTTTAAAGTCTGATCCAGAAGGCGATAGAAAGTACGTTGGGTGAAGAGGTAATATACCATTTTTACAGCGGAAATGAGAGTTTGCAAAGCGGTGCAAACGGTCTGTGAATGTTTTACAATGAAGTACAATTTTATAAATATGATATACAAAATGAATATTGTTTTTATGATACCACAAACCTCAGCTAAAAGTGGTATGTTGTCAATATATCGGAGGAAATAACACCAGTGGGCGTATAAGGATAGAAGGCTGGTCACTACCAAAATCACATTAAAACTGGCGTGGAAATTAATATTAGTAAATAATTATAGTGTAGTTTCGTAACAGCCAGTTCAAATAATTGATTTCACTTAACTGTACAAGTATGTAATCACACTTACAGTTTCAAGGCATCTTTAATTTTACTAGGCGCTGTCAAGTTCACACCCAAACCAAAGGATACTCCAATGAGCACTTTAATAGAATTGTAATTACGTTTATAAATTTCTTCAACACTTTCTAACATCCTCACGACTATGCAACTGATTACTATGTGATTACTTAATTGTTGGCTATAGCATCTTAAATACTACACTTTCAAAGACATAATGGGTCAAACAAAGCTCGCCCCTGTTAAAAATTGTTATTGTCTAATTATTGCCTTGACGAATGGGCGTATAACTGGCATTTGAAATTTTATTAATGTTCACGCCCAACCGGTTTTGACCAATTGAATTTGATATGACTATTTTATATATTTTTTGTGCATGTCAACCCTTTCGGGGCGTGAAGACACTTAATTTTTTAATGCCCAGACGCAAGCTGAAAGCACTTTTTATATGAGAAATGTAAATGAAATCAGTTGTGCAATGATTTTAAGATGGATTGCTATTAAAGCTTAAAAAAGCGCGATTTCGACTATATTTAACGTTGTTGTTTCATTATCGGTTGATAACACTGCGAAACAGTGGTTTTGTTTTATGAAGTTTCTTACCCGAATTTTACCTGATTTTGTACATTTTTAGCCAAAAGCAATACAATTTTAGAATTAAGAAATATACTGCTCTTACTTAACATGAAAAACACTTGTTTTTGTGTGCTTTTCTTGCATGAGTAAAAACATCAGTCTTGTCTTGAATGCTTCAGCAGTAATCAGCCATCATATTTGCATTCCAACAACCTTAGTGTGGCTCCATATGAAAGCGTTCTCCTTGTTCATCGCTTAAGTCGCAAATATTTTCTGGGGAGCGATTTAAATAGCTGAAGAGGAAGTGCATCTTGATGCTTAGGTTACATCTTAGTCTCTGAAAGTGCAACATTTTATACACGGATTTTGGGTTTAAAATTTTTAAAAACTAGGTGTGTCCCTATCCTCTAATGTGCATATCTCACAAACCACTTAAGTTATTACAACCAAACTTACTGAAAAGAAGTCTTCTTCTCTTCCCCTTTTTACACTATAGAAATCATCGGTGAAAACAGATGATAACCACGCCTATACTTCATATATTGGTTATGTTAAAAAGTACTAAAAGTGCGATAACTCAATAAGTTAATACGCTAGAAACATTTATTTTACACCCGAAATTTTATGAAAGCGCTTCATGGGAATTATCAAAATTGGACAATAGGCGTGATACCGCTAACCTTTAGGTGAAATCGCATATGTCAGGAACTACTCTACCTATTTCAACCAAATTTGGTGCATTGTGAAAATGGGCGAAATCGGACGACAGCTACACCTGCTTCCTATATATAAAAGTTTTAAATTAAATTTAAAGAATATAATTCAAGCATTTAACTTCATTAATGCGAATAAAACTTTGTACAAATACTGCCTCTAATATATGCCATCTTCTTTCCAGATAGGAATCAGACCATAACTTTTGAAGTTCCCATATACCGAATATGCGGACCACAGTGCATAATATACCAATATCGGTAAAACTCTGAGTGATATTACTGAAATTCAGAAAGAATCTTTTCCTCTCTTGTGTAAAAAATGCAAAAATTGGATCAAGACTTTCCTTAGTTCCCATACTTAATATAAAAGAGATTTTCGAACTTGCGGTTGATTTTATACCGGATAAGCTATACCCTATATACCGGTTAATATGTGAGATATTTTACAGAAATTGAGAGAGCGTCTCTCCCTAATAAAAGTGTGTCAATGAATCATTTCTGTTGGTGAAAATAAATGACATTTTAATGAAAGTAAATGAAAGTTTTTTAAAAGTAATGTGGTTAAGCGCAATATGAATGAAATTGGTCTAGACCTTGGTCTAAACTTCATATACCTAACGTAATTAATTCCGCACCTCTTTTTGATGTTAACCTTAGCCTAACCTTACTTGTTCAAGCAAACTTTAGTTCCTATGCTCTCTAGTTTATGCTCTAAGGTTTTTATTTAAATATTTAATACATTTTTATTTACAATGCTGATCGAGAGTAAAGTGCAATAACAAAATTAATCTTCTTGAAGATTTTGCAATAGTAAAAAGTAGGAACCACTCGCTCTCAGTAGCTGCAAATATATACAATAAATTATTTAAGTAAATACATTTTAATATTATTAATAGAGTAGTAATTCACTTACAGAAATCAAAGTGGTCAAGTTCATCAGAGTAAACCAAGATACTTCCATGTAAAACTGTTTATTTGTACGCATAATCATCATCAATATGAGGTTCTTGAATGCTTTGTTCTCTCCATACCAATCGCAATTGTAATAAGCCATTGGAATTTTTTCGCACTTATAAAATAAATGAAAAAATCGTCAGTTTTATAGTAGAAACAAAAAAAGTATGTATTTTATGTAATTATTAATTACCGCAGAAGTTAATGCCTGACCATGGTAACAGTAAATAGTGATTTGAGAAATTGAAGCCGAAATATACATTATCATACGTATGAGGATAACTATGCTGGATTCCTTGAAAATTTCATAGCAATACATGTTTCAAAATCAATATACTCCGGTGCTGATATAAGTTATATTATTTAAGTATATATATATGATAAAATTTTACTTACCAAACCATAACTAATCTCGAATAAAACAAAGCCCATTACAATCAAGCTTAGCAAGAACTGTACCAAGCTGATGTGTCTGAAAATTGTTTTGATTTCTTGCAAATACCTGCGGGCCGAAAAATGAATTTATCTCTCAAAAGTGCATGCTATTTTTATATATATAGAATCGTATTACTTGCTTATGCGCCGATATGTAATTATGAGATATCGCAGGTACTCAAGCCGCCTCTCTGCGGGTATCTGTGATGAGGTGGCGTGTAGCACCAACAAATTGTGAACCTTCACCAACGCAACAGCATGCTGACATAGCACCATAAACACTCCTTCGAAACTCACCGCACCTGTGATATATACCGAATTTTTATTTAGTAATTTATGTCTTTAAATTATAAATATACTAATACTACAATAATACTGGTCCATGAATTCCTTTGTCACTATGCATAGGTTAGTATTATATGGGGACTGATTCGTACCAGATCCGTGCACACAAAATATCGTTTTTAGTTGCATAAAGAGTTATAACTTAAAATGTCCATTTTCAAAAGTTTTGAAAAATGAGCATGAACCAGGCTGTAGTAAAGTTATGCTAACTAAATTCGTTGAAAAATGCAAGAATCGTTGACATGTCCAGTTTTTGGAAGACATTTCTTATTTTACAAACTAAATGACCAATCAGAACAAAATTTCGGCCTAAGATTTCTTACATGCAATTTTTGCACAGTTTAGGACTAGACTATAACCACGACTACTTCGTAGGACGCAATTTTGAATACTGTCAGCTTCTTTTAATTTGGAAAATTGGTCTCTTTACGAGGGTAATCGATAGGAAATTTATTACCGTTATATATTAAATCTCAAAGGTTCACATTCGTATTGAATATTCGCTGCTCCAGAACGTTCCTTCACACACCCTTAATGTGTTTCACTTATTTACGTTCGTATTTACAATACTACTGGTGAACTCGTTTATACTCACCCAGGCCAGAAACATAAAGTGCAGCAAAAGTCATATACATTTGTATGTGATAATAGGGAAATGCCATGCCCTTCTTTTCCCAAAATGGGTAGAGTGCCGGAACAGCTGATTTATAGAGAAAAAAAAAAGAATTTCTAAAATATTCAGATGCCAAGTACAATAGAATGGTAATCATTATTGAGTAAATTTTCAAATAATTATTGATGGCTAGTTTAATTTAACGATTAAAGGAATTGAGTTCAATTGTAAATTAATTATATTTTGTTTACGTCTACAATACTTACGCAGAAAATATTCATAATCGGGTGTTTGCCTCAGCTGATGATAGAGATTCACGAAGAAGGCTGTAAAAAAGTAATTGGCAATAACACCCACACAACAACAAAAATAAAATAAAAATAGATGACGAGTGTTACGCCAAACTCGTTTCATTATGTCATCGATCTCTTGCTTCAACTGCCGATTTATTGGAAACCCTGAAAAAAGTTTGTTGTTAAATTTCATCAAGATAAATTAAATCAATAACTAACTAGTAAGTATTTCTATTTTGCGTATTATTTCATGTGTTAAAGCCTGATCGAGGAGGCGATAGAATGTACGATGTGTGAAGAAGAAATATATCATTTTAATGGCGGCCATGCCAATTTGCAAAGCGGTGAAAACGGTCTGCGAATTTAATAAATAATGTAGAATTTAATTAATATACAAAATATATAATATGCTGAATGATGGCATATCACAAACCTCAGCTATAAGTGGTATGCTGTCTATATGCCGCTTGAGATACCACCAGTGGGCAAGCAGGGAGAGAAGGCTGCTTGCTATCAAAATAACTTGGATACTTGCGTGCAAATAAATGAAAACATATTTTGCTCAGTAATCAGCGAGAGTTTAATTTAATTTATTGATATTTTTATACTTCCGCAATATATTGTATTGCCGCGCTTAAAAATGTCGTTAGTCGAAAGGGAATACGAATACGAATATATACACATATATGTATATAATAGCTCTGTGAGATAAAAAAAATGTAATTTTTATACTCTTGCAACATGTTGCTACAGAGTATAATAGTTTTGTTCACCGAACGGTTGTGTGTATCACTTTAAAATAATCGAGTTAGATTCTGTCTGTCCGTCGTGATAAATCAATAACTAAATACGCCAGAAACATTACATTTTACTCCCGAATGGTATGAGGGGACTTTATACGAGCCGCGGTCAAAATTGGACGATGGTCGTGGCACCGCTCGCTTTTAGGTGAAATCACATATCTCAGTGCTGCTCGACCGATTTCAACTTAATTCAGTATATAACATTCTTCTAAAGTATACCACCTTATGACCAAAAATTGTCCAAATAGAACCAAAACTGTTCAAGCGCATTAATACCGAATATGTGGAGTACCAGTACCTATAGTGACTTTTTACCGAAAATATCGGTCAATGTGTGATATATATAATTAAAATTTAGAGAGGATCCTTTCCTGATAATATAATGTCTGTATGTCAAAAATGGATTGAATCAGGTCAATGCTTCCCTTAGCCGGCATATAAATTGCGAGAGTTTTTGAGAGAGAGAAGGTGTTTTTAATGCAATTTTAGCTGACAGGAATTAAAATATAAAAACAAAATTAAGTTTAAACTAATGATCTTAAAATAAGTCAAGAAGATACCATTTGAAATTTGATTTTAATTTTTTCACGATTTCTTCGAACAATGGCGGCTTAATTCTTTAACACAATTTTTAATATGAAGTTTTGCCAGCACTTGAAGGCATTTGATTCCTGCAAGTTGCAAGGGTATAAAATGTTCGGTTACCTCCGAACTTAGCGCTTCCTTACTTGTTGGTTTAAGAGTTTTTAAAAAGCAGACGTGGCTTTGATCTTTGCAAATTGCGAGAGTATAAAATGTTCGGTTACACCTGCACTTAGCCTTTCTTTACTTATTATAACAGCACTTACACTTTTAATGCATCCTTCATTTTATTAGGCGCAGTTAAATTTACACCCAATGAATATGATACTCGAAACAGAACTTTGATGGAGTTATAGTTGCGTTTGTGTAGTTCTTCTTTATTTTCCGAAGTCATTGTGCGCAATTAGCTTCCAAAATACAAATTAATTTATAATTAAAAATATATATAAGATAAGTGAGATGAAATCAAATAAACTTTTGAAGATTTGAATTTGGTTTTTAAAATTGTAGCAAGACACTTTCACAGTTCTATTAAAGTGGTGAATAATGTTATTTGACTAAAATATGCTACATACCAGGGAGTTTTTAATTTAAAAAAATTTTCCGTATCTTGTTAGCTGAAATTTTAATTAAAAGAACTTATTCTTTTCAAAATTTTGAGTACACAAATTTACCGTAACTTAAAAGTCCTAAAGTTAATTTTGTTTAAGACACGTCTGTTGTATTCACTTTCAGACTGTTTACACTATGGGTTTGCGCTTTTTATACGATTTCCTGCCCTTTGATATGATTATAGGTTTACTTTTTAATTATTATAATTTATTAGCATATTATTATCATGCTGTTTATGGTTATGTATGCAAATTGAATTTATCATAATGACAAGTTGTGTTCCTTGATGCCCATTAAATGTGAGTGATGAACGGAAATTGACTATTACCAAAGGTATTATAAAAATTTTTGATGATCCATCCACCGTATAGTTTTAACTTGGCACCGAATGACGTCACTTCTTTCCTGTACGTAAAAAATAATCTAAGAACCATTTTCAATACCTGAAAAGGCGGTTGATGTGTTTAGCACCTTAAACGGAGTGGCAAAAGTGCTTTGAGAATTGGTTCAATCGCATGCTAAAGTGTATAGATCCGAATGGATAATATTTTAAAAAACAATAAAGTGATTTTCGGTGATTAATGTTTGTTTTGGTTCTCTAATCCCGAAATATAAAAGGCCACCTACGTATCTACTAGTCCAAAGTTTAAATACGTTTGTTTACTCATTATGAATCTCACAAGAATAAACTCACATATATTTAAAGTAAAATTACCATATAGTATTTGATAATACCTCAAAGCTTTTCAAGTAAAAAAACTAAATATTCCGATGTTTATTTTTTATTTTCTCAAATCATTTTATTTATTAATTGCACATTTTTAGTGAATTTTTGGAACATGTTTACCGCGAGCCTGTGTCTCAAGTTAAACAAAGCCTTCATATATTCCAGCATCAACTTTATATTGCCCGCTCTTTTCTTTAATATTTTTGTTTTGTCCAACATTTTGTTAAAAGTCTCCTTCAAATATTTTTCTGACATTAAATTTGCATTTTCTATCTGAGAATTTTTTATGCAAAATCCAAATGTGCGCAAATATTTCAAGGCATATTAGACGTTAAAACGAATTACATATGCAGTAATAATACACTAATAAGTATTAATTTATTTATTACTAATAAGTATTATTATTGTGTGAATCATACGAATGTTGCCAAGCAAATATTATTAAAATGAAATAAAGTGAGGTATAATGAGGAAAGGTATCGATTGTTTGAATTTCAAACCTATTCTTATGCCTGTCGGCGACAGTATTTGGTAGACCAGAAATGGCTTGATATCTTTGATGTCGTACTCAAGTAATTTTGTGATATGTACTGCAATTTTTCATACTAAACAAAATATATTAAACAATTGATTTTCAACTAAAAGATTTAAAACTAAAAAAAATTATCAAAACTTATACTTTAAAATTATTTTTATTAATCATAACTTGAAAAATTTGAATGAAAAGATGGTTCTTTGGTTTACAAGAAAAAGGCTACACTTCGTCTGGAAAACTCGTGTTTGCAAAAGTTGCTTCAACAGGATTTTTAGACAACTTATATTCAAAGGAACAAGTATGTATATGCTCAACCAACCAACAAGATTTTAGAAACAACAAATAGTGCATTTTCTGAGGGTTATATCTAAATAATTCCATGTAAGACTATTTGACAAACGACAACAAATTACAAAATATAATTTATTAGTGATTATCCATGAAGCTTTGCTGAAGATCTGCGATGAGTTAAAGCGCTTACTGCATTGTTGCAATATACGAGTACATAAAAATATCAATTTTATTAAGGTTTTGAGAAATTCTTTTAATACAAATGTCTGCGAAATCGATAACAATTGAGAAAAATGGTTTGATAGTCCCGTGAACCAAAGGTTCTTTGATTTTTTTGTAGAATAAAAATCTTCTGAATATTAAAAAAAAAGGGGAAAAACATTAACTTTAGTTGTGCTGAGACTATAATACCCTTCACAAAAAACTCCTGGACGATTTTCAAGTAAAAAAAACAAATTATTTCGATTTATGTTTTTATTTCTTTCAATTCATTTTCATTTTCTTTAAAGTTTTTTTTTAGGTTTTTTAATTTTGTTTTTGCTTATGATAATTTGTTCACATGTCTCTTTATCAATTTTATATTAATTGATTATTTAATAACATATCATTTGTTACTTATAAACTAACGGTTCGTACATGGCTTATAAGGACAATAATATACAAACTACATACGTACAATCGAATGTTTTAATGTTTTTGTTTTTGTTGTTATTTTATTTTTTATTTTTTGTTTACTATACCACGAATTGAATGCAATTACAGTTGAACGATTTTGCTTTAACTTTATCAGCTTGAATGAAACATAATAAGCGTTAATTTGACTATATTCTACAAGTACATATACAAATATCCTAACTGCTAGTATTCAATTGTGGATGCGGATGTGTGTGTGTGTGGCTGTGCATGTTAGTAAGTATCATGTAAATAGTTTAATTTATGTGATCCTGAGCAAAATCTTTTGCAATTAAAAATTTGTATTTTGTGAATGAATTCTGAAAAGTTTGTGAGTTTTCGAAAAATATTAATGAACGGCATATTATTATTGTTGTCCATACATATGTATGAATGTATGTATATATGTAAATTGCGCTATTGCTATATTTGGTGTCTATTAGGTTTCGAAAAGTTATAGAGAGGAAAAAAATATATTTAATACTTTTTCTCATTTTCACCACAGTGCCTTATTTACATTCAAATGTGCTGAATTTCAATATAAAAAAAAACAGTACTGGAATGTTGTAGTATATATTTTAAAGACTTTTTTGGAAATATTGTAACTTATTACAATAGAAATTTTTTTCAACTAATTATTAAAAGAGATTTAAAAAATTTAAAAATTACATATTTGAAGTTATATAGTACTTTTTCAGTGTTTCTGCTCAATATATGCAAATTATTTCTGTTTGGCAATACAGACGTGAATCGGTTAATTCTTGCCTAATTAATTTTTTCGTGATCAATTATATATCGATAAATATAACAAATTATCAAGGTTTTATCGCTTCCTCAAAAATTGTTGAAGTAGTGGATTTTGAAAACGCAAAGTGACACTTGTTCCTGTCGAAGATATATATGTATAATTTAATTTTTGTTTTTGCATATAGATACTTGTATATCGAATGTATATATGTATAGTTTTGGAGATATGAGCGTATTTGTAAGATTTTTTTAACTTAGTGTAATCAGCTCCTAAAACTTTAAACGCAAAGCCAAAATGGCGTCAAAAATCAATATTTTTACTAGTCTCACGGCCATTACGGGTGTATAGCTGTAGTAATACTGTTGTAATACTGATTTTTCCTTTGGCTTTTGGATTTGACATAATTTTTAGCGGAAATTTCTTCCATACTGCAAAACATCTTTTTTCGGACGTTTTCCTGGACATGAACTACGGGATAAAGGATATCCAAAATTTTTCAAAATTATTAAAAATATGGAGTAAGTCCTTACTTAGGCGTTTTGGCAATGTAAATTCATTTGTAAGAATTATCAAAGCTTTTTAACAAATCGAGTTTGCGTTGTCCAAAAAAAATTTGAAGATGAAGATGTGCGAGAATTTTTCTTTGAAGAAATTTTAAAATTTTTGCTTAACAATTTTTTTGCTTTGGTAAGTCACTGGTATAAATTTGGAAAATAAGTTTTTTTTTAGTATTAATAAATAAATAAAAACCTAAATTGAAAATTTAAAGTTCCAAAAAATACACTTTACCACCAAATCACTTAAAAATAGACACATTTTAGCTGTAATAACATAAATAATAAAATTTCGAGCTTAATTTATTTTTAAATTTCCTAACTGTGAATTAATAAGTATTTTTTTCACATTATGGTATAAACATATTCAATATTTCTTAAAATTTAATTCTAACTGCTCCATGAATTTCCAATTTTATTAAAAAAAATTGTGATCACACCAGAGTTTTCCTTTGAAAATCATCCCTCAAAATCAAAGATGTATGAGATCTACTTCAGAATTTACCTACAGGATTGTGTTTAAGCAAATTTATGTACATGTGTGTATGTATGTATGCAAGTTAACATCGATGGTGTGTCTGTGTAGCGTTAGGTTCCGGTTTTTCTTTTCTTGACACACAATTAATTAAACAACATATTTATAAATTTTATTCGTTCACTTCATTGATATGTTTCTAAGAGGCTAAATAACGCATGCTTTCAATGGCTTTTTACTGTACACTCAATAATTTTATTTATTTATTCTTTAATTTTTAACTTCTTTTTTTTTATATATTTTCCGTAGTCTCGTCTTTACTGTATGCAGTTTTATTGCAGTTAATAAATTTATTACACAGAGCTTAAGATTTATATATTTATAAATATCTTTAATATGTGTGTGTGTGTGTGAGTGTGTTTTATATTCAATTAATCTTAAAAACTTTAACAACTTTATATAAATTTCTAGTGTTTCACTTATTCCGCTTTTTATTAGCGTTTTTCCCAAAGTTAATGTTTTTTGTTTTTGCTTTTTTTTCGGTTTATTGGACAATATTTTATTAATAAATGCGTTTAATTTGTATTCAATTTTATCTGTCTGCTTGTTTGTATGTCTGCCTGTCAATCTGTGTTAGTTGTTGTTGTGCCTTTTTTTAATCTGATTTATTTGCTTACTAGTTGCAATAGTTCGAAAGCAAAAAACTGCGTTGTGGCTGCATTGTTGTAGTGTTTTAGAATCCATACGTATTTTTTTGTAAATTTGCCTATGTATGTATATTTATATATATTCTTTATGTAAATAAGCTTACAAATTTTGGTAAATACTTTCCTCAATAAATATTTTTTTTTTTGAATTCTTTTCATTGATTTTTTTTGCTTATGCTGATTTATCTAATCGTAGCTTTTTATGTAAGCGGCTGTGTAAATATGAGAGGTGCTAGCGATTATTCCATTTATATACAGCAATAGATGTATGTATGTAGGTATGTAAGCTTTTTGCATATTTGTCACATTTTCAAGGTACTGTATAGGTGTTTTGTGCAAAAAAAAAAGTTAAATTAAAAAAAATATATTGAAAATAAAATATGAAATAATTAAAAATAAAAAGAGTTAAATAAATAAAAATAATAACAAAATAAATAAATAAAATATAAGTGATTTTAATATATGTGTTTTGTTTGAAATAAATGAAAAAAATAAATAATATTAGATAAATTAAAAAACAAATTAAAAAATGAATCAAATACTTAAAAGATTCTAATAAAATAAAATAGAATAAAATAAAATAATATTAAATATAATATAAATAATATAAAATAAATTTAAATGAAAAAAAATATTATATAATAAAATTAATTTAACTAAAAAATAAACATAATAAATAGAATTAAATTAAAAAAGAAACTAATGTGAAAATTTAATGTTTTGTTTTTGGAACCGCTTCAACTTTCAATGTTTATTTAATCAATAATAATTTTTTGACATTGGGCATTTATTGAAGTAAAAGAAGGTATTTTATTAAAGTGTGTTTATACAATTTAAAATAATTTATTTCATTTCAAACTATGGTTAAAAAATATGGCTATTCTTCCGAATAGGTCACCCTCCGTTTAGCTTAAAAATTCACACTTATGTCCTTAGGCCATTACATAGAAAGGCCCCCTGTGTCGGTTTTGGTGGAAATTAAAAAAAGTCGAAAATAAATATTAACTGTTATACTATTACATCACAATATATAAATGCAGCTCTATGCGAAAGAACTAAGGACAAGGCTTCTTTGTTTGATAAATAAAAACTAATTTTTTTTTTAAATAAAGTTTTTTTTTGAAAAATATTTTTTTTTAATACTAATTTTGATAAATAATTTTTTTTGAAAAATTATGTTTTTTTGAAAATTATTTTACAAAAAAATTGATGAGGAATTGAAGTTTTTGATTTCAATTATATATGAATTTTCGCCATTTTTGGTATTTAAAAAAAAAGTCCACTGAAATAGACACATGGAAAGTTGTTTTTATCACATGAGGAAGCTCTGTATAAATTTTAAAGAAAAAAGGAGGGTTGACCTTATCGGAAGTATAGCCCAAAATATTATTAATTATTATAGTAAATCAAACAAAAATATTTTTTTAGATCATTCCAATTATGACCGCCTAATGCCGATTTGCTTTTTGAGAGTAAAAGTAAAAGCTAGTACTAGAAAAAAATATTTTTATATAAATTTTGAAAATAAAAATATATAAAATTAATATATTTTATAAATTCGTAACACATTAAAAAAAAAAAATAAATATATGTATGTTGATATATGTATATATTTTTTACTAGATTGTGAGTTCCCTTTAAACATACATAGTAACACAGCAAAAGCAGCTCATCAATTTCTCACAAAAAGTCATACATTCACAGCAAAAGTATTTTGTATTCATAATAAATAATAGTAATGCGTATAAATGTGTTCTTACTTTTACAAATTACAATACTTAGGTATGTAGCATCATTTGGGTGTAAGTGTACTCATATTTCTGTGTATAACGGTAATATTTGTAAACAATGAATCACAGATAAAAGCCATCCAACAATTTCACTACATTCTCAACTAACTATATTAACGTCGCCTTTAAAAGCTACCAAAAATTGTACATATAATTGTGTGTATGTACAATAATATACAAATACATATATTTATAATTAAGTAATATCATGTGCGGCATTAAGGTAAATACACAAATTCGTAAGCATTTTATTTAAACACAATCAGACTACATGGAGTTTTTCAAAGCTGCTTTCAATAAACATAATGAAATTAAAATAGTGTTTTGGTTACAAAAATTTTTTATAAATGTTAAATTCTCTAAACTTTCACTTGAACTTTCATTATTTTTATAATCCATATGTATTTTATATTGCTTTCATGTGTATTTTTATATGTTTTTATACATATTTGTGTATGTGTATACATACATTTTCATTTAAGACATGACTTTTTTCCTTTCAAAACTTTTCGTACTTTTTTAACTTAAATATATGTATAGGTCATAATACTTTAGCTAGAAATTAACGGGTTTCTTCTCAATTGCGGAGTAATTGAAGCTTATGTTATAGCGCGCAGGTTTTTTTCTGTTTTTTTGCAGTGAAATCAACAAGTTATAGATTACTTTAATACTAGTACGCAACTAAATCCGAACAATCAGCCGAACGTTTCTTTTTCTATAGAAGCAATCGCTGTTTTGGCTGTGGACCACAATTATACCAGTTTCATACTAGTTAAAAACAGATATATAATCGTCTAATTAAACTTATATGACCAGTAAGATATTTAATTAAGGACTTTATGGGAATCCCTTTTGTTTTTTTTTTTTGATCTATTTCAAAACGAACTTATAATTTATAAAATTTATGCTTCCATTTATACACATAACATATTTAGATCTAATACACATATGGGCGCAGCTATTGGACCGAGGGGCTTATACAAAATAACACAAATAGGATGTAAACATTACATAGCGACATAACCTAATTTTTTCAAAAACTCTATTTGGTTGAAAAATGAAATAATATAAGCTGCAATGTTTGTTACACAGATCACTTTCGCAGAAGATGCCGTAGTAAAAAGCATTTGAAATATCGTAGAAGAGAGTCTAAACAAAAGGAAGTGCTAGCTAAGCCTAAAGTTTATAACTAATTTGGATTTAGGAAAAATGATATGAAAATACAAAAAATGTTAATGGAGTTAGCAGAGATCGTTTTTTCACAGATTAATTATCAAATGCAGAATTATCTCCTTCACATCTGTTGACACAGAATTGTACAGATAGACTGGCCAAGGCATAAGAGTTCGGTTCTTACACATTTGCGTTCAATTTAGGAACAATAAAAACTTCTTAGAAATACAAGTTTTTTAAAGAAACAAACATTTTTAACTCTAAAATTTATTTTCGCAACAGTTTATATAACTTCGGAAATCTTAGCACGATTCTGAATAAATTTTAACGAATTTCGAAAAACGCACATCTTTTTCATGCAAAATTCTCTCCTCAAAAACGATGAGTTGTTAGCAATTTTAGTCGTAATCGAAATTTTTGGTTGTTTGCTTCATTTTCCGATGCGAGAACTCTTTCTAACGTATGCAAATTGGTTCCTATACTAACTATTAGTCTCTTATAAAGACTTGGAGACCCAAAACAGTTTTCAAATAATTTTAATTGATGAATAATTCAGATAATTGAATTCTTAATCGTTTTAAGATATATATATACTATACATATATTATATTATATATGGTGTTAACCAAATTCAAATAAAATTGAAAATATTATAAAAATTTAAAGACATCCAACAATAAAGAAGATAAAAATGCTTATAATATTATTATAATTTTATAGACCAGTAAATGGTGCATACTTTATGTATGTATTTCCCTAATAGGAAAAACGAGTTTTTTCACTTTATACTGCGAAAAATTCTTCAATCTCCAAACTTCAAAAAATTCTCAGAAAGTATGTAAATAGACATGCATATTTCTTTCAAACAATACGGAGAAAATAGGAAACTGAAAAGCGTCAGACTTTCTCAATAATATTATGTATATAAGAATTTTTATTTAGATGTCTACTAACTCATTTTTCAGGGCATAAAGTGAAAAAAATAATTTACTCTTCTTTTTAACCCACCCTAAAATGCATACATATAAAAAATTGAAAAATAGTAAATGACTGCATTTTCTATGCTCGCGAATGTATTTGGATTGTTTGCGTTACTATTCCCTTAAAGATTGCATTTAACACGGCTTTAGTGAGCTAAAGTGTGTATGTGTGTGTGTCATAATTGTACAAATGTGCATGAGGCTGGAAATTTTATTCAGATTTCGTTTCTTTTTTCAAAATCTCGATCAAAAATTATTTAAGCACTTTTGATTGTTAATCTATGTAAATATGGTATGTATGCGTGTATATTAGTGAATTTATATACATAAATATGCATTTGCGCTATGATTATATATGTACACATAGCATGTATGTATGTATGTTGTATATGAATTTCGAATATGAGAATATATATGTATTTATATGTATGTATGCAGGTAAAAAGCGATTTTTGGTAAATATTGTTCTATTCTGAAGTTATTGTATAAAAATGGAGTTATATATTTGAAAATTTTATTTTTTGAATTTTAATCCTTTTTGTGAGTCGACCAAGGGAATTTTATGCATGCGCTAAATGTTTGTATGTATGCATGTAAAATAAATTGAAATATTAATGCATTAAATATTCAACAGCTTCGAAGCTCACTCACTGAATGCTGCTACTATTAGTTAATACAATATATATTTTGGATTTTGACTTTTGCATTTTTATGTACAGCATTGTGCCACTTTGTAGGTGCATCTTTTTAGTTTAATGTATGTAAGTGTGTATGTACGATTTAAATAACTTTAACTCCACTTAAATGTTAGTTAGAGTTCATTGCTTTTCATTTCACATGCCGTTCCAAACATTACTCTTAACATACATATCTACATATGTATGTATGTATGTATAAGTAAATGTTTGTATGTTTATATATATATGTATGTATGTATATGAATTTTTAATTATAATATAAAATGTAATATAAGTTTAACTTTGTTGTATTTTGTTTTTGTTTTGCATGCTTAATCGCTGGCTACTAAGCGTTTTATTCACTATCACTGTCACTGTCGGAGGGAGCGGAAAGTAGGCGTTATTATTCGCTCTTTGGCTTTTTCAGTAATTGCTACGTGGCGCCAGCATCATCGCCAGCACCGTCATCTCGCTCATTTTGCTCGTCGGAGTTGCCACGTTGTAGTAGCGAACGATTTTCATCGCTGGAACCGCCTGCTTCGCCGTTGCTTACTGTCGCACCGCCATCACCGGTATCGCTGCGTATATTCACATTGGATGTGAAAGTGGTCTCCGAGTCTGCAGTGTGGCGAGTAAATCATAAAAATATTATTTAACTCCTATTTCATAAATTCTTTTGATATATATATATATATATATATATGCTTGTAACTAAAATGCTTCTGCGAATACTTTTACAAAACAGTACAAGTGGATCAAACAAATGTGATAAGACGATAATTACGTTTTTCTGAAAAATACCTGAAATTTGCTGAACTCTTTTAAATTACTTATTCTACTCTTTGCAAGCTTAACCTCAAGTCTCTTCGGTCGATTATATTGTATATCTGAAGTCGAAGGTAAGCTGGAGTCTCTGATAGATTGAACACCCCTCATAGGTTTAATATTTTACATTATTCTAGAATGACCCATTCAAGAAACATTTAGGTAATATATTGGGGTTATAACTATATTCATGCAGTTTTCCAAGACATGGCGTAACTTGTTTATTTTTTCATTGTTCCAATATTTCTAACACGCGTTGTCAGTATACCTATGTCATTCATTTGAAGGGCCAACAACATTTTTTTTACTCAAATATGTCGAATTTTGTGTCTGAGAAAGTGTTTGTGCGATGAGTCATTCTTATTTTGGTGGCAGTTTGTGGTGAAACATGCCACCATTACTGCCGGAAGCATTACTTCATGAAGATTATTGTACAACACACGAACACCTCAAATTCTTTGGGAGTCACTTAAGCATAACGTTTAAAAGTAGCCCGATACGTTCAAAGCAAAGAAATCGTGTACCATATGAATTTAAGACCAGAGAAGTTAAAGGTCGATTTTGCATGTCAGAAATGCTGCTTGAACGCTACAAGAATAAGTCGTTTTCGCATCGGATTGTGATTGGCGATGAAATATGGATACATTGCGACAACTCTAAATGCAAAAAATCATATGAGAAATCTGTCCAACAAGCCATATCAACGGAGCCGAAAAATTATGACGCCAAGGTAATGCACAGTATTTGGAGGGATCAGAAGGATGTGTTGTATTAAGAGCTTCTAAAACCGAATGGGGAATGCTACCGACGACAACTCATTAAATTACAGCAAGCGATTGCCGAAAAACTCACGCAACTTGCAACTAAACATGAGCAAATAATTTTTCATCATTACACGCTTGGCCTCATGTTGCAGGACAAGTTAGAAACTAATAGAAAAACAGCTGCCGGGAAGTTTGGCCTCAACCGCCTTATATCCCAGACCTTCTACGTATGTTATGTACTGTAAACTTTTGATTCAACTGCGTGAACTCGTAAAAGATCTTTTAGATAAGCCTGCTGCTTTTTTATTATAATGAAAATTCTTATTCTTTGGTAGTATGAGTATGATACTTTTGAACCTCAGTGTTAGAGAGTTAGCAATACCACCAAGATTAAGTGTAGATCAGAGCTCGAAGAGGCGAAATATCTTTGTGATTATTAATAATTATTGTGATAATAATAAACTTTTTACTAGTATGCAATGGTTTTAATTAAAGTCTCGAGTGTTTTAAGAGCTAATCTGGAGAGCTCTGTGGATCTGCTTATTCATAAGTGATTGATATGATATTAGATTAGGGAATATAAATAATATCTAGCAACAAATTAATTTTATATATTTTTTTAGCGTTGAACATAAAACTTTTCAAACCACTTTGTTTTTTTTTTTGAAAATCCTTCTATATTAAAATTTAAGGTTAATATTTGTCTGACCAATTTGTTATTTATTTTAAGAATATATACTATATTTTCGTTACATAAAATATAATAATTCAACAAAAAAAAATGCTTTTCGTGCTTTTAAGCTTTAAGTGCCAATTGGTGCTTATGAATTTGTAACATACTATACTAGTACTTTTTTAAGCGTCAAATCGTATTGAAGCTTTGAGTATTGAAGTGATTTGCAAAAAAAAATAAAAAAACAACAACTTTTATTCTAGCGTTGTACTAAAAGCGGTAGGAGTTTTGAATTTTCATACCGAAGGACGACTTGAATTCGGAATTCGAAATTCGATTGCGGCTAACAATGGAGACATGCGGTGTTTTCCCTTGTGCACAATGGAGACTCAACATGACGAATGTATATTGATGAGTTTTATAAGGATTTATAATGCGGCTTCGAAAATGACTGATTAATGGTAATAAGTAAATACACAGATGTGATTTTTTTTTGTTTAAAGAACACAAATAACGGTAAATTTTGCGTAGTAACTTTACCAGTGTTCGTATTGGTAAACTTCGAATATTTATTTACCTAAACTGCTATCTCTATTTGTCGAATCGTATCGACTATCGCCGGACATATGCGATGTGGCCGAAGAACGGGCCAACATCGGTTTGACTTGACGTAGAGCTTGCTCCTCGGGATAGCGTGGTGTTTGAAATTTAGTTGGACGTGACACAAGAGAGGCCGGACCGGAGCGTTGCTGTATCAACATGCGATGACGTAATGGTGGTGGGGAAATAGACTTGGCTAAAATTGAGTGAGGTAATTTATTCGGTGAGTAATCGCTGCCAGATTCGCCCTGTAAGCAAAACTGAATTTCGATTAGTTGTATCGTGGTGATATGCGGTTAGTAATTTTTATAAATACCATGACGGTGCCATTGTCGGAAACACCCGAACCCGACATATTGTCGGCAAGTAGACGCTCACTCTCCGGGTCGGCAAGTACGCGTGAAATATCCGACTTGTTTTTGAGTATCGATTTGGAGCGACGATGTTGTTCGAGATTTGGTGAGGCATCGATAGAATCTATCGAGGAGGAATGTTTACTTTCGAATTTCGCTGCAATGGTTGTGTAAGAAAGTAATTAGGCAATATATTGTAGAAAAATTTTAAATTTAAAATTTATGCTCTCTTTCATACCTTTTTGTCCAACATTCTGTATACCGAACAGATGCTGATTGATCAGCTTGGTGGCAGTGGCTAAACTTTTACCGGGCATAAAAGAGGAACGTTTCTTTTTGCTCCCGCTGCTGGCTGGACTACTCTCGTGGCTACCGCTCACACCGTCCTGTATGATCTTGACCTCTTCGAAACGCGCACGCGGCTTATTCGTTGCGCCGGCGCCACTTGGCATCGAAGTGAAGCTTTGGAAACGCGTCTTACGATGTTTTGGCACTGGATTTTCATTGAGACTGACACGACTACCGCGCTCTTGCACTTCGAAATTTTGATATATCTCATCCATGGGACTCAGACCAGCGGCCAAATTACGCAGTGCCGTATCGCCAGATGCGCTCTTCTTCACCTGCGAACGCGCCAGCCCTAACGCTGTGAAACCGGTAGCACCGGTCGGTGGCAGTCCAACGATGTAGCCAGTTGTACCAGGCCCACTAGTCGAGGTTGTTGCCTCCTTCTCCAATGGATTTATATACAAATTATCCATGTCAATGTCTAGCGCGCACGCTTCGTCGACCAAATCGGCAGTGAGATCACCTTGTGAATGAAATGGATGTGTTTGGCAGCTGGCATACGTGTCCGAACTATCGACGCTCGCCAAATCGGCATTGTTATTATTGTTTATATTGACATTGAAATTGTTATTCAAATTGCTACCCAATGTCAGCGCAACATTACCGGTGGCCATTGATAGACCCGGACACGCACCCACCGATGTTGTATTGAAGTTATTATTATAGTTATAATTGAAATTATTATTACTATAACTGGTGATGAAAGGTGGGTAACGAAATGGTGTGTCCAGTGGCAGCGCAATTGTTGTGGACGTAGTGGTGCCATACGACGACGAGGTGGATGATGATTGCGATGCAATTGGCGCAAGGCCAGTGGCAGTGTGGTGGGGCAGATGGTGTGGTGTACGCAGAACGCCGCCACCACCACCACCGCCAATCGAGAAGATGACTTCGGCATGCGTGTCGCCAGTCGTAACTGCAATTGCGCCGGCCAGCTGTGGCTGTGACGTGGGCTGCAATTGACCGGACATGTGCGTAGGTGGGGCCAGCAAACCGTATTGATTGGCTCGCAGATGTCGATTCGCCTGATTGGCGGCCATACGCATCTCCAGGCAAACGGGCTTGTGGAAGTCCGACGTTGGAAGCGAAATTACACCTTCGGCATCGGTGAACTCCTTGAAATCCTGCAATGGCAAATAAATTTGACAAAGAAAGCAAGAGAAATGTTGAGTTAATTTGACACATTCGACACAATGGCGCTACATATGCAGGTATGTAAATATGTGTCGAAGCGTTGCTGGACAACAACGTCAACAACTTGTTGATGGTGGCATGTGGCATGCGCTTGTGGGTGGATGTTTTGTGTGTGCTGCATAATTGCTGCAAATCTATTTACATATGCAGATTAGAAAACTTTTTCATGTTCAGATGCTGTGCGTGTGTTAGTGCGCCATTAGTGAATTGCTGATTTGATGTTAGTGCTTGGGGAACGTGAATAGTGTTGTGTGTGTCAGCGTTGCTCACTTTTAATTCAAGAAAACATTAATTTGCATTTACGCTAATATATTTTTTTAATAACCAAAATTGATTGCTTAAATTGGCGAAAAATGCTTAAGAAAATATTTTGAACAAATAAAAAGTAAAAACATATATTAAACTGAATATTAATTATGTTCAAATTAGATGCCCCCTTCGAAAATTATTATAAGATAGTATAATTAGATAAAATTATTAGGCAGATAGTTGGCGCTGAGATCGATATTTTTAATTTTTAAAGGTTTTGTTGCATAGTAAATATGTCTTCTTTATATAAATGGCGGTCACCATTTAAATAGAGCTGCCAAATCAAGCATTGCATGATTTAGTATGTCCAAAGTAGACTTTTGGGCATACCAATAGGTTATCTAACCTATATGAATTAATTCTATTTTCTTCAGTGGAAGCAATTTGCTTCCCAACTTACCGATGATATATAAGAATATTGCCAGGCATCCCTACTTTATACCATATTTAACATAGTTTATCGGTATCTTTTAATATATCTCTGGTACTAGTGCACAAAAAAAAAAAAATTATCAGACTACCATGTTTCAAGTTTGAGTGAATACTAATACGTTTACATTTGTTTATAGTTCATGAAATGTTGAATAATATTTTCTATAATGAAGGAGTTTCGAGAAGCTTACTAGAAAGTAATGTGATATCGCAGAATATTTGTCACAAGTGTGTCGTTCAATCTTTACTTTTTAACATCGCAAATATCGAAAACTGAAGGTGTGGATCAGCTTTATATATTTCGATTGCGGCGATTCTAGATCAGTTTCGAAACTTTCCTGATTAGCGAAATAGCAAAAAAATGTTTTCGCCCACTCGTATTATTTAACAGATTAGGCTCTCAGTTACGTTTGCCTGCACCGGAATCTCAAATATTTATGTGGGGTATAATCTCAAGTAAAATTTACTTAAAAACGGAGTGTGGGGAAAATACTATCCGATCAATCGAACCGAATCGGAATAAAATGTTTTTCTCGATTAGTAAAATATTACATCAATATTACGTCAACATAAGGAGAAAAAATAAATAATTTAAAATAAAAAAATACAGTGTGTTTGGAACAAACGAGGGTAAGTTTCCACCAATATTCGTGAAAGAAAAAAAATTTGTACAAGATAAAAATTAGAAACTCAAAAACTTTGTTATTTAATTTTTCACGTAAATTTTGAGGTTATGTAAAAAAAGTTTATATACAAATATTATAGACCTTTTCATTACCTACAACATTGCCTTATAACTTATATTTTTTTATAGAAAACTTAGTTTTGCCGGAAATCGAGTTCAACCATTAACCCTTACAAATTCAACCACGCCCATTCTCTTCCTTTTCCCGACCTCAGTTCGCCGCTAAATTATTTTCACTTAGTATTTGTTATTTTATGTTTCGTTTCCGATGGGTTTCATCCCACTATGATTTTTTTTTTCAAAATTATTCACTTGGTCTAATTTGTTTACGACCCTACAGTTTGTGTGACAATTTTTACCATGCAAACGAAAATTTTGTGTTTCCAGTAAAATCAAGGCTACGGAATCGTTGAAAATTTTTATAAGTGGTTTAGGACGTCTATTTTATCAACAACATAAATATTTGACTGACACATAGCTTTTAGTGAAGGTCCTGAAGTCATCGAAAATTTGCCTTATGCGAGTCATCCGTCCTTCACCTCTGTTATGACGATACAATGAAAGTTAAAAAAAGCAGTGTTTGAAAATCTTTGAGTTGGGATCAAAGAGATATTAGAGGATCTCAGCTAGGCTCAAACTTAAATAAAAATATTTGATTTTGTAAAAACGACATCGAGCAGAGGTCGAAAAAGAGATGCAACGTAGCTTAGAACCTACATTCATTGCAATACTGTACATCGTTTTCTTAAAAAAAAAAACTGGAGCTTTTACCACGATAATGCGCCGTCACATTTTACTTTTTGCTTGGTTGAATTGAGATCTTTCCTAGCGAAATGCAAAAAAGTATTCAGCCAGCAGTTTTATTTGCTCGATTTGCCTCTCTATTACCGTTACCTATTATATTAAATTACGTTAAAAGCCGATTTTTGCGATTCCACTGGGATAGCTAAACAAGCTTGTAATTCCTAAACTACTAAGTATTGAATATGAAGATTCTCATATATCTTCCGGCAATTCATCTGGTTCGCCGTATGAACACCAAGGTATACTTGACGCAAATATTCTGATGCCATATTACAGAGTCATGGTATAAGCAGACTATCCTCTTAAAATTTACTTCAAAACTGAGACAGGAAAAACATAATGACATAATAAAATGTTCAGATTGATTTTTAATAAAATCTCTTTACATGAAGATGCTAAAAATATAGCATCTTTGACATATTACCACAATAAGAAGAAACTAATAAAATAGCATCTTTGAATTACTACCAGAGCCCCGATTTGCTTCATTAATTCTAAAATGGTTGAGCAAACGTTTGATTATTTTGTATGATGTTTAGAGGGTATTAGACTTCGATTAAACTACCCTTTTATTTATTTGATAAACTATAAATTTATATTTATTTGACATTTAATGGCACATTTAAAATTAAATAAACATAAAAAGATATTTCATTAATTTTTATTTAAAAAATTTTCAAAAAATAACCAGAAAATATATATTAGCACAAAAAATATTGTAAAAATGCGCAGAAGTATAAACTAAAGAAAATATTCATTTAGTAGTCTGTAATACTTACCACTTTATAAATGGGATTTTGTATTTAATTGGATTGGTGTGCGTTCAACAGTGATCAATTTTGAGTTGGCTTATGTGTAAAATCGTTTGATGTTTGTTTTGTTATGTATTAATTAGAAAATTTTCCATGGCATCCAATTGGGTTTAGTAGAATTTTTAATGATGAAAAACTATTATAACTACCAGTACCACTAAACACTACTATTCATTACAAACAACTATTTTTGAACGCTAAAATCTAAAAATGGAACTCAAACTGGTAACAGAAACGAAAATAACTGCTAAGTGAAAAATCATATAACAATGCTACAGACGTTTGAAATATTCGAAAAATATGAAATAAAATAAATAAATTTTAAACAGAAATTCCATTTTATATTGTTTCGGTGCAGGAGTTGCATGTTAAACATAATTTTTATTCAAAAGTAAATTGACAAAAATATATATAAGTTTTTCATATATCATGTATTGATTATATTTAATTTATATTAATTTACAATTCAATTAAAGTATTAAATTAAATAAATTGCAGTTACTTAAAATTATATTTTAAAGCGTGTTGAGTTGTTTGTTATTTTAAACTTCTATGCTAAGCGAGACTACCAAATACCGTTATGATATTTTGGACATCTTCGCATTAATATTATTTTTATAATATACATGCATACATACAACTATTTTGTATCGGAAATATATATCTATTGTAAAGAAATTTATAATTTGTATTGAAAATTATACAACTTTTTGAAAAATATTGAAGAAGTGCAGTTTTTAAGGGGCACACCTAGTGTGGAATTAAATAAAATCGATTGATCTTATGTCGATACCTTTATTTATACCTTTAAAAATAACATACTGAAATTTCAAATCGATATCTCAAATAGTTTTTGAGTTACAGCCATTTAAAGGGTAGCCGCCTAGTTCGAGCAGCTCGAGAGAGTATTCGACTGATTTGGCATCCTGTAATTTTGTCTACCTTTTTGAAGCACTTAAAATGCATTGGCTCAAAAGTAGTCTATTTTGAAGGCTCCATAATAAAGACATGTATTAAAATACGTAAATTTTTTTTTTTTTTTGTCAGCCAGGTCATATTTGGTCAGATGGTACATTTTGAACATTTTTTTTCCTATATAATTGAAGAATGATATTTATGGTTTCAAGCATTATATAAAACATATATTTCAGAAAAAGAAGAGTATTATGAGTCGTGGAAGGCAACTAATTGATATTTACTTCCATTTATTGACCAAATGCATGTCATATTGAGTTTGCTTTAATATAGGATCGCCATGATAAATTAATGGAATTATACAGTTAGTCAGTTGTAGTTTATTTTATGGATAACACTAACAAGTTTACTGCGAAAAAATATATACTCTATATATAGAGCGAAGGTGGTTTTCGATTTGTTGTTTTTTACATAATTCAAAAATCATATTTTTTTTTTATTTATTACTTAAAAGCGGCAACAAAACCATGAGCTGCAAATATTTTACCCGATACTGTATGCATGTAAAGGCTACATTTAACACTAAATAATATAAAAATTATGAATTAATTAATTTCCATTTGGTTTAACTAAATTAACTTATTCTTTAAAGCGTTTTTTATTCTTTAACATATTTCACTCGTTAGTAATTAGCTGTAATTTTTGTCACACAAATTTTCACAATTTTTCATTAACAACAAATTCTTAATGTTTTCTATGTCTTTTAGGTTGTATTTATATCGTGTGGTACGCCCTCAAGTTCAATCATACAAACATTTTGCTTTAAAAGTTTTCGTTTATATTTTTAAATTTTTTAATTTTTCGTTGTAAATTTTTTTTCTTTATTAGTAATTGTCGCTGGGTGCAACATACATACAAACATTAAAAATGCGTTGTGGTTATATAGTATATATTTATATGTATGTATATGTGT